GGGTTGGGGAGGTGGAGACGGAAAATCCCTGGGGCTTCCTAATCAATCATCCTAGCCTATTTGGCAAATCCTGGTCCAGTCAGAGAATTTGTCTTAAAAAAAGAAAGAAAAAAGATAGGAAGAAAGAAAGAGAGAGAGAGAGAGAGAGAGAGAGAGAGAGAGAGAGAGAGAAAGGGACGGAGGGAGGGAGGGAGAAAGGGAGAGAGAAAGAGAGGGAGAGGGGGAGGGAGAGAGAGAGGGAGCATCAGAGGTCAGCAGCCTCTGGCCTCCACAAGCACCTCTGCAACCTCACAGAGAACTGGTGACTATGGGGAACAAACTGAACTTCCATACATTGTTAATGGGAGTTTAAAATCAATAAACTTTAAAATTAAATATAAAGACAATTCTTGCAGTATAACCAACCAAAATGTATGTATCTGGGCACAAGAACCATAATAACAACAAAAAAGTAACAGTAGTATCCCTAATGGCCCATTAGCTGGAACTATCTCAGATATCCACCAAAATAATAGAAAAGTGATGAATTAAAAACGGCCAAGTGTGTATGCAATTAAAATGAACTAATTCTAGTACATGTGATGATACAGATAATTTTAACAATATCATGAATGATGAAGCAGAGGAATACATGGTTCATGATCTTACTTTTTAAAACTAAAACACACATAAAAACAAAATTAAGGAATAAAATTAAAGAGAGTGATTATCTTTCACTATTTTTGAGGAAGAGGGGGGATTAAGTTTTTTGAGGTCCTAGCCATTCCCATTTCTTGACCTGAATTGTATTACAAGAGTTTTTCACTTTGCAATGGTGCACTTGGCTTATTTGTTTTCTTTTGTGTATGTTATGAATGCACATAAATATGCAAATGTGCTAACCAGTTGCTTTTATGTATTTTAGAGACATTGGTGGTATCATGTAATACTAAAGTTTATTAACGTATCACTTTCTTTTAGAAAATTCAAATCTACTAAAGAAATTCTCTTGTATTCTGAAGACATAAGAAGATGCAAACTTAAGAATTTTTGAAAAAAATAAAGATTTATTGTATCTTGTTTGAGGCCAGATCTTCTCAGAACAAAAGAAAAACAAATGGAAGCCGTGAGAAGTAAATCAGATTGACAGAAGCCAATGCAGAAGAGCACAGAGACAGATGGGGGGATGGACAGCATCATCTGCATCACAGCAGGTGCTGAGGCTAGAAGGACAAGCCATACCTTTACCTGGCACACAGGTTGTCATCTCTTCATACCAACTTACAATTAATTCCATGCTCCCTTCCCTGAATACACAAATTTCAAGAATGCTTTGCTGCTTGTTGGAGAATGTCTGCTTCCACTCTACCTGTCTTTTAATAAACTACCATCCAGTTTTCAGTTCAAAATAAATTCTCTTACTTAGGGTTGCTAGTATTTGGAATTCAATTTTTATCTAAGAATTACGGTGCCTTATTTTTCTAAAAGTCATCTTCTAAAATTCAGATATCCCACCACCAAGCAAAACTCACTCAAGCAATTCCTGTCCCACATCAGGTTGTGGCCATACTTATATATCTTTATAGAATGAGGTTTTTCCCACTTCAAACCTATGAAATGATGCTTTTATTGTGGTGTTATGGTATGTGTGTGTGTAGAGGAGAGGGGAGGGGAGAAGACAAGAAGGGAGGGAAGAAGAGAGAGAAAGAGAGAGAGAGAAAAAAGGGAGAGAGTGAGAGAAGACCATTTAATATATACTAGTTACCGTGCCAAGGGCATGTATCATTCCAATTAAGTCCCACAACTCTACACAGTGAGGGTGTTCTTATTCACGAGTGAAAAACAATGGAAACCAAACCAAAGGCACAGACAGGAGGCCAAAGATTTTGCCCAGGATCGAACTTAGGAAGTATGGGAGTTAAGCAATATACTTACAGACACAAATATAGAGATTATGCCTTAACCTCTAGTCTATGATAAAAAACTCGGGTTGCTCTCGTCATTTTTTTCAAATCTCTCCGTCTTCAATCTCTTACATCCTCCTTAGGCCACTTCTTAACTATGATAGCTGTAGCTAACTGACTTGTCCTCCTCGATAAACCTCCCTATCCTGTTCAAGGCAACGTTTAACAAGACTGTCTTTAAACACAGCATACTCCCAGTCCAAGACTGTCTTTAAACACAGCATACTCCCAGTCCCTTCAACGCTGCAAATACTTGGGATACCTAAACCGTCCTGATCAGTAAACACATATTGGTATGCCAACTCTGTCCAAGCGGCATCTCCTCTGGCCATGGTTTAATAACGGCGTAATGGTCAATGTTTGTTCAGCGCCAGGTGTCAGCCGCTATTCTCCCTTACATCCCAATATTTACCCAATAATTCCATCAACTCTCCTTGGTAACTGATGCAAACGAGCTAGCAGTTGCTGCCGCGTCCGTGTATTTATGGGATTTATGTATCTCCCTCTGCCAATTACATGCTGGGAGAACAAGAATAGCTTCATCCTGACATCAGCTATGTTTGTTTAGCCCCTGGCACGTAATCAAACAGCAGCTCAACACACATCTTTTAAACTAATGACCAGAGCAATGCCTGCAGGTCCTTTACTGCAGACTTGGAAACTCTTCCTGGCCCATCAGCGCTGAGTTTCTTCGAGCACAAGAGAAGCAACACAAACCAGTTTCGGATCTAGCAGACTACTATGCACGCTTAAGGAATCGACGAGTATTTACCAGCGGTTCTGCTTCGCTAAGTACATACATAATCTCATGTGCATCACCGAGCATTTTGTGAAGCGGACCTCTTTGCAGTTTTTACATATTTCCACGCTGGGACCCAACCACAACCAAAACATATTAGTAGGTCAACGACAGCGACATTCCACCTTACAGATGAATTTGCCATCAGGGAATACGGCGCTTACTTTGGTCTCTCAGTAAGTCGAATTCTGTGGCCATTTCGAGATTTTACTTTGGAGTTTTCATCACCTTTATCGATTCCTCGCGGGGGTGGGGGGAGTAAGATTTTTTTTTAACAAACATAAAAACAGCCCCCCGATGTGAGGGCAAACGAAAAGCTAAGGGGTCTCCGGGGCAGCCGAGCCCTGGCGCGGAGGCATCAGCATCCCACTCACGCGGCGGCGCAGCCCGGCCCGCAGCTCC